CGATAATCCAACATCCGGTAACATTGTTTTAAATCCAGCTGCTGTCGAATCATCTAATTTCGGTACTCACGTCGTACACCTTATATTCTTTGTAGATTTGAGCTGTTGTCTTGATGACCAATTCAAGTCACGGAATAGCGTTGATATGTCTAAGAAATCCCCTACACCGCCTTTGATGGTTCGGTCATGTGTTTAGTCCTACTCTTCGTTTCCCTCTCCTTGCTCTGTTTGAATGTGCTGGACAAGGGTTATAGAAGTAACGTGGCGGTCACCCTGTGGCCTGGAATTATTGTATGAAGTTAGCTTAAGCATTTGTTAATGCTACCCGCTTTCCAGGTTGGGGCCCAGGGGATGCAAATTGCCTTTGGTTAGGTACGCTGAGAGATGTGCCTATACGTATAAGTTAGTGGAATGAATTTCGTATGATCTGTTTGTTGAAAGAAATGCAGGTAAAATCTACGAAATGTTCGATTAACTATTCATGTTTGTCTCGTTGTTGCCATCAGTTTCTATTGCAGTTTAAACAACCATTATGCATGCGTTTCGGTGAGACGCTTTTGGCTGCTATCTTTTGGTGCCCCATTTGGATGAGCGATAGGAGGGAAACAGGAAGGGTCAAAGTAGGATCGAAGAGAAAATTGAGAAGTTCAGTTGATTCATGTTGCAGGGAAAGTGTGAAAATGCACGAACGCCACTGTTTAAGACACCCAGCCATTCAGTTCAGTTCAGTTTTTCCAAACATTAATCATGCACTTTCGGGCTTCGGTTTTGGTTGCCCATTTGGATAAAAGAGCAAAATGTAGATTGGAATGTTGAAGCAAATTCAAGCGAAAGGTGGATAATTCATATAGAGTGGTGTTAGGAGAATAACGAGTGGATGCACGAGGGCCACGATTTGTGACATCCAGCCATATCACTCAGTGTAGCCAACCGTCGGTGACTATCATCCCGAGGTCCCCAGCCAGGGAGCCTAACGGGGCCTATGTGACCTAGTCTCCTGGTTAGGGTTTTCATACCCTCATGTCAGGTCTTAGCTTGACCACCCTTCGTTTTTTTCCAATTGCTACCAGCCTTAGCAAACATCGTTCTCCGTGGCAACCTGTCTGGCGACATGCGTAACACATGTCTCAACCAGCGTAATCTATGGAGGTCGATCACTTGCTCAAAACTTGCCCAAAACTCTGCGCTTAACCTCAGCATTGCTAGTCCGGTTACCCCACCAGACACGTGCAATGCTACTTAGACAGTGTTCGAACACTGACAATCTAATTTTATCCTGTTGCCTTAGTGGCCAAGTCTCTGGATCGTAGAGCAAGACTGGCCGAACTTCTGCAGCACACAGGCCACCCTTCACAGACAGCCGGATGTCTCGACGGCGCCGCAGATGTCTCAAGTTGGCAAATGCCAATCAAGCCTTGTGTATGCGAGGTGACACTTCATGCGTGATGCGTCTACCGAGTGAGATGTAGTTACCCAGATAACAAAACTTCTCCACCTGCTCTATTACTTCCCCAATTAGGATGAGATTGGGTGCTGGATCAACCCAGTCTTTTAGTAGCATTTTACACTTTGAAGGTGCAAAACGCACATCGAACATGGCTACATTAGCAGTTAAACTATCCAGAAATGCTTGCAACTTTCCTGGATCTTCACTTAGTAGCACCATATCGTCTACATACTCCAGATCAGACAGCCTGCCACCTGAGACTAAAGTTATTTGAGTTAAAGCGATGGAATATTTATTTTGCTTATCTTTACTCAGTGTTTTATTTTCGTTTTAGATTGATCAGAACAAGCTGAAGATCTAAATCTTCATTCAGCGTAGAGCTTCTACTCACACCAAGCATGCCCGATCCAGAAAGAGATGCGATCACAAAATTAGAGGAGACGCCTAGTCCGGATAATCTGAGCACTGCGAGTGATGATGGCGATAATATAATGATCCAGACGCAAGATCCTCACGCAATGGGGGATAATTTGAAGTGACTAATTGTATTTGTATTGAAACAAATCTTTCAGTGAATCCCATGCACTGATGAACTTCATAAAGGGAAGCATTGGTTCCGGAATCTTATCGATGCCTGTTGTCCTGCGTTATGCTGGACTATGGGTGAGCTTCATTCATCAGTTTTTCATTTATTCCCCTATAACAGGTAGGCCTTGTTATGATTCTTTGCGCTGGAACGCTTGCAGCCTATCTGATGCATGTATTAGTTCGCGTGGCTCATTCCGTCCGAACGCGGTAAATGTTGTTTTACGACCCTGTCTAGTGCCACTTTGACCCCTCTTAGGCATTCACTCGAATTGAACAAAATGGATTACACGGAAACTGTGTTCATGGTATTCAAATACGGTCCGCTTAAATTGCGCAAACCCAAAGGAAAGATAAAGTACGCGTATCTTTCAGTGCAGTTAATTGTATTGCGATTTATTTCGTGATAGGCACATTGTCAATTTGTTTCTCATCATCACTCAGATTGGATTCTCTTGTGTCTACACTTTGTTTATAACTGAAAACACTCGACATGTGAGTCCACGTATGATGCGTGTGCTTTCTAAGAAGACAATTTTATTTTGTTTAGTTCCTTTTTTGGTTAAACCTACAATTTAGGTTTCTCTGTTTTTAATGCATCGGGTCGTATGTTTAGTTGATAATTTTACTGCCATGTTCTCTTCTTGATGGGAGCTTAACAGTGTTGCTGGGATGCTTTGGGTTGCCTGTTTTAGTACACTCTTCAAATATATATATATATATCTTGTTACTTTTGTCTGTGCGATTTTCTCCTGCTACGGGATAAGTTGGCTCTAGGAAACCCAATTAGCCATAGATACTCGTTCAGATGATTACAAACTGTCTTCAGTTCCATGCGGCTTTTTTTATTCACGATTGTATCTCTAGCATTTGCACGTTCAAGTACAACATGCAGGGCTATAGATTTGTTCCAGACAGCTCGGTTTCCAGTGATTTGTTTACGCGACTCCTCCTAGAATAAATTCCGACTAAATGATACGAAATAATAAACATATTAGTAGAGGGTCGCACTCGCCATGTCACAGAATCGTCATCATAGTGTGCTTGCCAATCAGAACTCACGTCCTCCTTTGGTCACTCCCACCCGAGCCCGATTTATTTGACGAATTATCTGATGCTATGAGGTTTCGCCAGCCCCGCCTCTGGATATTGCTATCATAAAAATGCTCGATCCCCGTGGTTGGTCGTCCTTCCCCAACTTGTTCACTGGTGTTTCTGAAAGCTCACCACAGCATCATAATGCTGCTTAGATGTGTGGTATCCCCATTTGTTCTGATACCGAAATATATTCCTGAGTCGGACTCGAATGTTCCCCAGTTGCTGTAAAACTACACGGCCACAACCCCGAGATCAATTTTTCATCCGGAAAGAAATCGTGCGAGAATTGAAGAAATACACACATGATGGATAAAAAGCGCGTGGTTCCTGACCATAGAAAAACTATCACATATCTCGATTCTTTCCAATTGCTCAAATTAGGCACCGGGATTGCGATGTCCTGCTTTTAGAGTTTTTGAACTATATTGCATTGTCGTTTTTCGCATGTGTCTGAATCCAGACGGTGTGCCAAACAAATCCTGAAACAAGTAAATAAATCCGTAATTTACACGTGCGCGGAATACGGTCGCATTGTCCAAACCGAAGCAGGTGAATTTTCCAAAAGGATCCAGACGCGGAGCCCTTAACTAACCGAAGCCTGACCCGCAAGGCAGCGAGCGGTGTGAAAACTACAGTCCGTTAGGAGGGATAGGGAAGAGTCCAGCTATTCGGATCATACGCCGTTTGGACGGCGTCAAACGTCAAAGGTCTCCAAGATACGTCTATACCCAGTCAATCCGGTGACCATTACCACAACCAGAAGGGTGTGACTCAAGCGTGCATCTACTCATTCTTCTTGCACTCTCAGTTAATATAAGTTAGCTTAATTCTCTTTGACTCTGCTCCCGATAGGCATCCAAAAACAGCAACCAAAATCGGTGCACCAAAGTGCATCGTTAATGGTTGTCAAATCCGAAAACAGTCTGGTTCATACGCCTCTCCTTGGTTGTTTTAGAATTAGAATTGTTAGCAAACTCGCTCGGATGANCACCTCGGATGATTTTTCCCTATTATTGGTCGGAAAGCCAGCGAATGTAACGTCTGCGACAGAAACTATCGTATAGGTGTATTTCACTAGTTGCAAGTCAAGGGCGACCAGTCACCCTGAAGACTCTCATCCCTGACCATATTGCTGCTTTCGACTATAACCTAAGTGTTGAAAGAGCATGAAATCAATTCCCCTTAAATCTGACAAGGAAATTGATACCACAATGGTTTGTATCAGCCTCCGAAGGCCTCAGTATGGTCGGGGGTGGTTGGGTGTCTAGGGTTGTGGCCGGTCACCCTTCCCTTGCAGCTCGCGAAACGGTCCCATACGACCAAGCGTCTCTAATAGCTTTTGCTGAGGAAGCCCTGCTTACTTCCTCGTGGCGGAGGTGTTTTCCCACCCAAGTGAGAGGACGAAAAGCCGATATATGGGGCCATAACCGGGTTGGTGGACCACTGGTAATTCAAATAGGAGAGTTGGCCCAAAACCCTGATACGAAACCAACCATGAGGAGGTGTACGAACCACACACACCTTCCGGGTTGTGGCAGCGGTCACCGCCTCGATTGGGCATCGAGGTTTATCGGGCACCTTGGATGTTTGACCCCGTCCGAAGGTCGTATGATCCGATGAAATGAACACCGACTCCCAA